CTCTGGATGATTTATGCTAGGCAAGCCCTTCACCATATTTTCTTGAGCAAGCAACTTCAAACTACGAAAGTTTAGATGACCAAAACGAAGATGCCATAACCAAGAATCATCTTTTAAAACAGCACTAAGGCAAGTGTAAACCTCACTGGCAATGTCAACTCGAAACATACGATTCTTTGATAGAGGAGCCTTAAGAATAAGTGTACCTTTTGCATCAAAAATGGAGAGTTGATTATCACGTAAGAGCATATTATAACCCCTCTCCAGCAATTGACCCAAGCTAAGCAGATTGCTCTTCATATCCGGCACATAGAACACGTCTGAAATATAGTTGTGATCTCCATTCTTCAACTTGATGAGAATTCTCCCTTTTCCCATCACTGGTACAGTGCTTTCATCTGCAAATTTGACCTTGGATCGATACGACTCATCAAGATCAACAAAGAACTCCTTCTTACCGCACATATGATTAGTACATCCAGTGTCAAGAAACCATGTGTGACAATTTGATGCCTCATTTGTTGATGTAACCATCAAAAGAGCATGATCTTCACTGTCATCTTCCTCTTGTACATAATGAGCCTTTTGATCATTCTCCTTATATCTGCACTCACTTGAATAATGACCACGTTTATGACAAGAATAACACTCAACATGAGATTTGTCATACCTTCCTCTACCACGTCCTCGACCACGACCGCGACCTCTTGCATTCTGTCGATGGCCAAAGTTTGATTTTTCTTGGTCATCACCACCTACTCCATAATTGTTGTTATGATCACCTCGACCTTTGTTGAAGTAAAAACCACGTCCTCGTCCTCTACCACGAGAACCACCATGCCTTTGACTTGTTTCACCACCTTGATTACCTTTGATGGAAACTTGGCTTTGGAAGGCTTGCTCAATCGGCTTCACTGTCCGTTTCTCATTCATTCTCTGCTCATGTGCTTCTAATGAGCCTGACAACTCTTCAACAGTCATTTGGGACAAATCATGGGCTTCTTCTATTGCTGCCACAATGTGCTCAAATTTTGGTGTGAGTGTCCGCAAGATTTTCTCCACCTTAGTCTGCTCTGTGTACTCCT